GAAGGAATCTATCTTACGGGCAGGGGGTTGATGAGGTGGGAGGTGGTACACCTGAGGGCAAGCTGTACCAAGTACTCAAAGAGTTACAATTACCTTCTTATAATAAAATAAGCAGGATTTTCAATACTGCACTGGAGAAATTGGTTTGGGGGGAAAGATTCATGACATCCATTTCACTGACTAGAGTATAAACAAAATAGGGTGGAAAATACTCAGAAATGACATATCCTTTATCCAAGCCATCATGTGAACTGAAAATATGGTTGGCAATTACAGCCCCCTGTATAATCCTAACTCTTACAAATAATGCTTTTATTCCCACCAGAGAAAAGGAGGGATTGAATTGCAAAGTGAAGAGCTCAGGTTGGCTGATAGAACTTGCTAATTCTGGAAAAGCTCTGTCTTGAAAATCAAAAATTGGAAAATGAATGTAAATCCACATAAAACCTTAATTCCACTATGTCTGAATGGTGTCTGTGCATTCTCTTATATCTTTACTGCAACTCTGCTTTTGAACTGAGCTATCAGGAGCCAAAAGCTCTGGTCCTGTAGGCTACCACTTAACTTTCTGCACATACAGAGTAGCACAGGTGCTAAACTGCACAGCCCTCCTCCCCTGCTTTAGCCCAGCAGCCTTTTTCATGGAAAGCCACTTACTAAAGCACATTCACCTATTGTAATTACACCGGCAACCCATGATCACCTCCTACCAAACTGCTGGCAGTCCCTTGGCTAGAAAAGCTCAGTGGCCTTCGATTGACACAAGTCACACAGTGAAATATGAAAAGGCATTCCAGATCTCTCCAGGGACACTGTGATATCTGTATTCACACGGAGGTCAGGCAGAGGGCTGTGACTCTCCCAGATTGTTTCAAATCAGGCTGCTCTAACATATCTACCACCTATTCAATGCAACTGCCTCGGCACTGAGAATGCAGCTGGTGTGTTGGCCACTGCCAGCTTCAGGGAAGCCAGCTCACATTGGCATGTCTATGTGCCTTAATGCATTGCCACCTGCCTTGCTGAAATATGGAATTTGCAGAAGCAGACCTTCTGGGAGGACCCAGGCTGGCTGAGACATTGGCTGTGCAAGTGAAGGTTCTCTTTATTTGATCAAATTTGAAACCCACTGTAAAAGAGTGTAGTGAAAACTTTTATTCACACATTAAGTTTTACGAGTTTGTAGTCTGTATGGGATATAATATATGGGGGGAAAGGAGTAGAGAAGGAAAAAGCAAGATAAATTATAATTAGTTCTGAAATGCCACTTGTGCCAAACTTTCTGGCACAGCCTTTTCCTAAAAGAAAGAGCACAGGCAGTTTTGATCACCTGCATTGAGAGGGTTGAGATTTATATTATTTCCAAATTAAATTAGGGAAAAGATTCTAAGTGCAATTTGTATTGCAGAAGGAGGGACTGGTAGTGTGTTTTGGTTTGAAAGCTGCGTGAAGCAGAGCAGGGAATTGCTGTCGGTGTGATGTGCACAGTGTTCAATGTACTAGGGGTTGGAATCCCTGCAGAAGGAATTAATGTGCTGGCACAGTGCTACCAAGAGACTTGGTCCTGTCCCATTGCCATGTGGACAGGCACAAAGTATGCCAGGTAGTTTTTACAATAGTCGCACATCACTTACTTCATGAGGATTTGAAGGGCCAAATACCTCCATCCAGTGCTTTCATGCATAAAGATTCTTGTTTCCTTATGAAACATTTTAAAAGCATGTCTATCCCCAAGATCACCCCTTTCTCTTCTTCAGATGTGCTGTGTGTTGTTTTGCGTTATGACGCATAGTATTGGGCACTGTCTGTCAGATCATGTTAAGCTAAATCAGTGGCCTGCAGCAGAGACTCAGTGTGATTCCCAATAAATTGTCAGCAGAGTGGAAAGCAATAGCTGCCCATAATTTGAATTTCATGCCTGCTCCTCATGGAAATCCTATGTGACAGTTTGTTGTGCCTGAGAGCTAGCTCAAATAGATGCCTACATCCTTAGGAAGTCTGTCTACTGGTCTGTATTGCCCACACAGCTTGCTGGTCACTCATCTCATGGCATAACATTGCTATACTGGCATCATGAATGCTTAAAACAAGAGGTTCATCAGTAGTTTAGAGTCCTGGATCCTGATTATAACAGCTGTGTAGAAATGGAAAACTGAAAACAACTGAAATTGAACTAACAACTGAAATTGAAATTAACTTGGCAAGAGAAAATAAAGAAATGTAGATGCTTTTATCCTGGCTCAAACAAGGAGTACACACACTGTCCTTCTGGGCTGCTGCTCTATATTTAGGCTTTCATGCTGCCCAAGAGAGTTTCTTGAGGCAGCTTTCTGCCTGGCCTTTCCTTAGGGTAAGTGCTTCTGCGGGAGATACCTGTCTCCCCTCCAGGTGTGCAGGAGTTCTGCCTGGCACGTCACCTATCCATGTTAGGAGTTGCTGAGCTAGGATGAAGGCATGGTCATGGCTAGGACCACACAGTCATGCTGCAAATACGCAACATCAGAATCCCGCTGTTCACTCAAGAAATGAGCTGAAGGCAAAATGAAACTGTGTCACTTTGATGGAAGGGAACACCGAGGTGCTGTCACTCATCACAAAGAACAGCAGTCTTCACACCTGGTCATCTGTTATCAAGGAGTTTCTTGTGTAAGAGTTTTTAAAAGGGACTTGAAGGAAAATAATGAGGGGGTTAGTGAATTTTTACAGGAAGTTTTTTTAAGCATGAAAGGCAACATGGAAGACTGGGAAGTGTTTACAATGTTAATAAAGGAAAGGTATTGGAGGCTGCTGTTTTGGGCAGGCAGAAAGTGAGAGTCAATGTCTTACTGAGAGATAACACAGAAAGGTTATCAGAATATGTCACTGAAAGTGAGGACAAACAATGTGTGTTTAGGGCTTGACAGACAAGGGAGAGCTGTAGAGAGGTACAAAATGAAGCACACAGTCAAAGAGACTGATTAGAAGAATTCTCTTTGCAACATCATTTGGGACCAATACACGCAAGTCACAAATAAAAGATAATGCTTGACCATATCAGATACTTTGCATGGAAGTGTATGAGTGTAAGGGTCCATCACTCTGGAAAAAGCTCTTATTAATTCTGTTCTTCTCAGCATTTCACAGGACAGCTAAAAAGCCTCCAAGGTACTCTGCTTTGTTCTCCAGAGCCTTGGAGCAGTATCTACTGAAGCTTTTACTTTTAACATCTGGATATCCTGTAGGCACATTTGCTACAAAAGATGGCTCATTCCAGCCAGGATTTGTAGTTACTGTGCCCACTCCAGACTGAATACTTTCTAAGCCTGTTTTCACCTCTAGCGATCAATTATTTGAGAGAGAAAGCAAATCTCCCTAACACCAAGAACGCCTTTCAAAGCATTCACACATTCTTCAAGCTTTGTGTGAACACTACCATAAATTTCATTCACAAGATAAATAATGAGAAAATACCTAACCTGAGTTGGCACATTCCCTAAGTTTTATTTTAAGAAAAATCCAGAAACTCAGATCTGAGATAGGGCTTCTAGATACAAACGCAACACTGCTGTTACTACTATGATGACTGCTTCTGCTACTAATTGTAAGCAAAGAAAGAAACATCATATTCTGTGATTCTATATGTATATAAAGGTGAGAATGATGCTGAAAAAAATGGCAATCTGTGATCTCTACTGCTGATACAAGGCAGAAAGTACATGCCAGCTCATTACTTACAATAATAAGAAGAGGGCAAGTAGCACCTCCACATTCTGCCAGGGAATACAGAAGGTGTTTTTCTCTCAGTTTGCCAAGGAATCTGCTTATAATGCCTGGTAGAAGGCAGGTAGTATCTGCTCAGGATGCCAGGGAACAGGTAAGTAGCATCTGCTCATCATGCCACCCAACTGTGGGTCAACTCTGACACCAAGCCAAGTGGTGTAGTTGTAAGGTGTCCCTTCAAACAGAAGGAAGGGATGTCATCCAAAGGGACTTGGACAAGCTTGAGAATTGGGCCCCTGTGAACCTAATGAGGTTCAACAAGTCAAAGTGCAAGGTGCTGCATCTGGGTGAGGGTGATCCCAGACATGAGTACAGACTGGGAGAAGAACTCATTGAGAGCAGCCCTGCAGAGGCCCTGGGGGTTCTGGAGAACAAAAAGCTTGACATGAGCCAACAGTGTGTGCTTGCAGCCCCAAAGGCCAACTGCACCCTGGGATGCATCAACAGAGACATGGCAAGCAGGTCGAGGAGGTGATTGTTCCCCTCTGCTCTGCCCTCGTGAGGCCCCACTTGGAGTGCTGTGTCCAGGTCTGGGGCCCCCAGCACAAGAAGGATGTGTGGTTGTTAGAGCAGGTCCAAGGGAGGGCCACAAAGATGATCATGGGGCTGGAGCACCTCACCCACAAAGAAAGGGTGAGAGAGCTGAGACTGTTCAGCCTAAAGAAGAGAAAGCTCTAGGGTGACCTCATTGTGGCTTTTCAATACTTAAAGGAGGCTTATAAAAAAGATGGAGAGTGACTCTTTTCTCAGATAATGACAGGATGAGGGGGAACGGTTTTAAACTAAAAGAGGGGAGATTCAGGTTAGAGGGTAGAAGGAAATTCTTCACTCAGAGGATGGTGAGGCAGGATGGCACAGGTTGCCCAGAGAGGCTGTGGATGCCCCATCCCTGGAAGTGTTTAGGACCAGGTTAGATGAGGCCCTGAGCAACCTGATCTAATGGGTGGCATCTCTGCAGGGAGGTTGGAGCTAGCTGATCTTTGAGGTTCCTTCCAACCCAGGCCATTCTATGGTTCTACGATACTATAAATTAATGGTTTTGCAGTTTAAAATGCTTTAAAAGGATGAGAACAGAAGTTAATAATTAAAAAAAATAATAAAAAAATAAAATAAAATAAAATAAAATAAAATAAAATAAAATAAAATAAATAAAATAAAATAAAATAAAATAAAATAAAATAAAATAAAATAAAATAAAATAAAATAAAATAAAATAAATAAAATACATTTTTATCCCAAACTGTTAACCCCCTAACAATTCAGTGACAATCCCTAACTCTTCTCGAGCTATTGCAAGTAACTAACTAAACCAAACTCCTTCAGGCTCATCTTCTGCAAAGTTTTGTTCACACCACCAGCACTAATGCACCCAAGAAGCTGAACAACTGGGTTCAATTTTGCCTGGAAGCAAAATACTGCAGGACTCTTACAGGGTAAGAGTGTGCTCAAGGCAGAAAAGTTAGCATGGTCTGGTCCCTCAGCACATCCTCGTTTTATTCCCAGTTCTGACATATGAAAACCCCAAATGTTAATTCCATCCAGTGTCTTTATTCTTTTGTAATAAAGTAAAATGCTTTAAGTGGCTTTCTGAGAAGCTCATACCCATGGACAGAATATAGTTTTCCCCCTTACCTCCCTCAAAAAGCAGAAACTATATGAGAAAACTAGAAAAAAAAATATACTAACACTTAAAAAAAAAAAATGAATATTTCACTTTGTGTCTGAAGCTTAAGGCCTAGGTTATTTCATTATCATCTAGCTGGACTATTTCCTTTCACCAGCTTCCCAGGATGTCTTCTTATAACAAGATAACACATTTCAAAGATTTCAAAGGACAGGATATTTAAATGTAGACCAAAAAGTAGATGCAAAAATAGCAGAGCAGTGTTTCAGCCAGTCAGACTTGGACTCTTAACAAAGCAGTAGCTCCTTTTGTAGGGGACAGGAGGCTTCAGTCAGTGATGACAGATATGAGTGAAGGAATGAGGATTAATACCACTTCTCTTACAAGCTGACTCAAACCCAATGCAGAGAGTATAAGAGCACATCAAATTTCTGAGCCCCTAGAAGAACCACCCAGCAGAACTATTTACTACCACAAAAATAAACTCTCATGAACTATTTTATCAACATGAAGACTAGAAGCAGTTTCCAGACCTGATATATTTGAGTGTTGTATAAATCTTCAGTCTTTTAAATAAATGTTTTCAGAGTTAGCAAAACTACAGCTATTGCAGGAGATGGTTAAAGCCCTGTTTTCAACTAGCTCAGGTCACCATCTTTTCAGGCCTATAAATCCATGCAAAAAGGATAGACTGCTTAAATCTGATAAAACCTAAAAATATTTTAATTTCAACTAAATTTTTAGATTCTGAGACAGCTTCCTGCCTGACCTGTTCTCACACCTCTGCCTCAAGTCAAACCAAATCTGCATTTAATAAGTAAAACCATGTTAAATTATACAGGTCTAGCCCATTCAATGTGAGGCTGAATATATTTGATAAAATCAAGAAGAAGCAACATTAGCACATCATTTTTATGTAACATCAGTAGGCACAAGCTATGGTAGTGTGTGATTTACAGTATAGCTGAACATTACCTATATTTGACAAGCATGCATTCAAATCCATCAGCTTAAATGAATTTCAGTGCTTTGCGAGGAACAACTCCATTTATTGTTCTTTTAATCTTTGAATATAGATGTTCTTCTAAAGTGAACTACACCAAGTGTTCTTGAATATGTTTCTTCCTCATGATTTTATAGCAATAATTATCCACTATGGAGTGCAAGTATTTCTGAAAGATGTTTTGATGTTTTAAGGTGCAGATTATAATTATGTGTTCCCAGCAGATTAGTGAGAAAACAGGTACTTCAGCCTGCCTTCCTTTCCCTTTGTCCCCTGCTTCCAGCCCCAATTCTCTAAACATGCACAGACACACTCGAATAAGCAGGAAACTAATCTTATTATACTAGCAGGAGGTCTAGGGGCTTCTGATCTTTAAAGCTCTAAGATGCTATTTAGGAACTAAAGCAATATGTGAAGTGAATTCTAAGTTGAAGTAGGAGTAAAAACTCACAAAGGTATTTACAGTCTCTTTTAGGCTCTTCTGGGCAAGGATGGTGTATTGCTTCCCTTTTCAAGGTTTGCTCATTTGTTTTTCTGTATGTTATGCTGCACATTTCAGTGGCAACCTGAGCTCTTCCACGGTGCCACTGCTGATCTCCATTTAGCAGAGCTGCAAGCACTGGAGGATAGAAGAAAATCCTCAGCCTTCCTGCCCCCTTCGTGCAATATCCTTCTCAATTTTTGCCTTCCTCAGACATGAGTGAAGAGAAGAGGATACCAGAGTCTGTATCATGGGTCAAGCTCTGTGGGGGAATCACAGCACAGAAGAAGCACCCTCTCTACTCACAGAATTACATCCCTCCTTATAACGATGCAGCCAAAAATATGCTTCCACATCTCCCTTATGCTGGAAGAAGAAAAAGCATAAAAACAACAAAACAAACTAACTAACAAAAACACACTACAAATCCAAAGCAGAACAGAAATAAAATGCAGGCTTTGTGCATGCACTAAATTATTGATTTTAAAAATCATTCTTTGAGTGTTGCTTCTGTATTCAGCCTGAAATTCAGATAACCCAAGAATTTTTAAGCACACTCATTTATATTCTTAACAGCTATTCATTGCAGCCATGTTGATTTCCCATGACACTTAATATTGGCTGCAACAAAGTTTCGTGCAAAAGGATCATTCTTCATGCAAGTATCCATTTATCCCCACAAGAAAAAAATTTAGCCTGCAAACAAGAGTATATGTGATTAATTATTTAGAAAATGCTATCTCCTAATCTTCCATTTAAGAAGTTTAAATTATCCAACTAGAAGGCAGAAACAATGCCACTTGAGGTAGCTGTTCTACTGGGCTAAGTTAACATGAAACAGTGAAGATGAACTGCATGAAATCAACACAAAAACTACAGGCAGTTAACTCAGACTAGCAAAGATTTATAACTAAAGAATACATTCACAGAAAAGACCTCTCATTTCAGCAGTATCATGGCAGCAAAATTCCAGCAATGTCGATATTATATACTTTGCTCGAGCAATATAGGCACAGCATACTTCTCAGCAAGCCTTGTTTCACAGAATATGATTGTCACCCACACATTTCTACACCTTTGTCCCCTGTGTTTGCACACACGACTCCAGCACTGACTGTTGTTGCTCCAAGGCTAAAATTAATGGGATTTTCTTCAAAATGATGGGATAGTCTTCAAAATGTATCCCAAATTGAGAGCCAATCTTCATTAGTATTCCCATCATATCCTCAATCTAATCAATCTCTCTGCATTGTAATTCAATAAATAAATAATTAAGGATGAAAATCCTCCACAGGCAATCCATAACATTGCTGTATGACTGCGCATAAGTGCCCAGTTATTACTGTGTGATAGTAACCACCTCTAAGCCTGAAAAATGAAACACAGAAATTAGGTCCAGAACCATTTTGTAATCACATCCACAAGGCTGACAGTCTTTGGGTCTCAAAAATTGAGTTTTGATTTTTATTATTTCTGTTTTAGCAATAATTGCTTTCTGTTAGAACTACTGGTTGGATGTCATCCCAGTGTCTACCTCCAGTACCCTTTCAATTTATCAGGTAACGATGTGTCTTTTAATGATGTTCACAAATTCATTCCAAACTCTAGTTGATAGCTACAAAAATTAAATGTTTTTCGGGAGCCCATCCATGCTTTGCAGGGTCTTTCCCAGAAGGCAACTCACCAATCACTTGATTAATTTCTTTGTTTCTAATAGAAATGTCCATTTCTTCCACTGCTTTTGATGAAAGTTTAGCAAAAGCTCATTGCTGAAAAAACAAAAGTGCTTACCTCCGGAATAGATATCTGAGACAGAGGGTCTCATAATATCTTCAGAACCACCAGTCAATTTCCTAAGGAACCTTAATCCTTCATCCATCTTATTTCTTCAGTGAAGGGATGATCACAGAATTTTGTGAGGTTTTTAAATCCCCGTAGGAAGCAGTCTTGCCACCCTGTGCAAAATATTGCAGTCAAGGTATTTTTCCCCCTTCTTCTAAGCTGCAGAAATGACCTTCCTGTGGAAGCAGCGAGAGGTACCATTAACCAGTGCCTGAGATCAATCAGCTGTGATAAGACTGACCTACCCCTCTAGTTCGATAAAGGATGCTGGAGCACTGCTTAGACACTTGAATATTATTTTTGCAGATCTTATAATAATTCAGCCTTTCTCCTCTCCTTCTTTAAGACATATTTAACATATTTTCTGAGTAATGCCTCCAAAGCATTCCAACAGCAACTGCTGGGAGCTGTAGAAACTGGCCTGAGGCCATACCACCCTATGCCATGATTCTGTCAAGTTTCAAGGAGCAAAGCTGTGAAATCACCCTGAAGACAAGCACCAGCACAGGAAGCAGCTCTCTTTGAGAAGCCATGCCAAGTGGTGAATGTTCCTGCATAAAGGAGGTTGGAAACATCTACATATACACCTGCACAACTTCAGATCAGTGATGGGTCCTTCCTTAAGTCATAGTCCCTAAGTTTTACTGTAAGCAAATTCCTCTTTTTGCTGAATCACCTAAATAGGGAAAGTGGTCTGAAATGAAAATGTAAATGTTTGTGCCCAGGTGTTGTATAAGTAACTGTTGTCAAGGAAAGCTCTCCAAAATGGAGTCCTGGAGTTTACCAGTGACCGGCCACCAGCCAGTCTTGTGGCAGCCTTGTGGCATGACAAAACAAGCTCAAGGCAGCTCAGCATCCAGTTTCCAGCCCTAGCAGTGCTAGAGGTTCCCTGTCTCTGAAAAACTATGTTACCTCTCCAACTCTGCCAAAGAGTATTTCAGTGGGGCTGGCAGTGTAGGCACCACTGGGTGCCTAGCAAGGCACCAGAGTCATATTTGCAGAAGGCTGGAGCAGGTGCAGCTGCAGCCAAAGGCAATGTGCTGTATAGTCTTGGATCAAATCCCTGATGCCTCCTTGTGGGTATGCAACCAGAGATGTTTTTGACCTCTATCCCTGTCTCATAGCTCCTGATCACTAAAATGAAGCTAATACTTCTCACAGTGAACAGTAAGAGCAAGTACATTAATATTTGTGAAGCATTTGGATACTGTAGCAATGAACATCAAAGGAGAGCCCAGGAGGAAATTAATAATTGTCTTCCGAATATGCTTTGAATAGTGTGCGTAAATAATTCATGGAGCTGCACAGCGAACAATGAGGAAAACAGCACTACAGAATATCTGCTTGTTCCCTGAGCACCACCTCTTCTGTGCATGGAAGATGATGAGGTTGGAAAATAGTATGCAGACATGTACTTTGCTATTGTACACAAAGGAAATTTATTAGATTTGGACAGGTAACCTAATTCTCTAAATTTTCCTTTTGCAGGAAGGGGACTTATAAATGGAAAGATAAGCAGCTGAGAAGGAAGAAAATATAACAGACACATAATCCAATCACACATAAAACTGTTTGTGCCCATTCAAATTACAAGTATGGTTTTGCAGCACTCCATTTCCCTATAGTACAGAAGGGCTACGTTTGGTTCAGGTCCAACTTTCTAGTACAACTGAATATTACTTACTCCCCAAACTAGCAGAAATGAGGAAAAAAAAAATAAACATGATTCTAGAAAGATAAGTGTCAGGTCCTCTGCTGCTGACAGAGAAGTTAGACATAGTCCAAAGATTTTTGGTAGAGTAATTCTGTACACAGAGGAAATGGTTCAATACAGGTGAAGATTTTTCATTAACTTTCTAACTGGGTACAGCATCTATTTGTATTCATTTAAAAAAAAAAAATGCTCTGTGCTTTGAAGTGCCAACTTTTTTTGTATTTGATGATGAAATAAAATAATTCTAATTATTTATGCTTCTTTAACTGAGAAATTCTACTGGGGAAAAAAAAATATATATATATATATGGATTTGCTCTAATACCTTCCTATCAGGTGCTTGACATATGTTGCAGAATGCAATTCAAACTACGTATTAGTGCAGAGAACAGACCTGAAGGAACAGGTGCTGGTGGCCTGTTCTGATTCATTAAAATCAGTGGAAATATTGGGATGGATTTCAACAGGAACAGACAAGCACATTCATAGAGGAGGGATGGCTTTATGCTAAAGGGACTCATAGGCCCATGCTCTATTTTTAGTCCTGAGACAGAGTCTCACTGCAATCCTGATTTAATCTGTGGAACAGTGACATTAATCTTGTGCTTTATAAACTCACCTGGCTCCTGCACAGCTTGCTCTATGTGCTTTTACAAGATTTAACATGTTTCTGGCTATCAATGATCACACTCAAATACACAGGCCAGGAAAAAAAAAAAAAAAAAAAAAAAAAAGAATCAAGAAAACTCAAATTCCGTGAAGGCATGAGGAAAAAATATGCTGCAGAAAGCAATGTCTACTGCAAATGCCTATCAAGAGATCCACTTAATTTTCCTTCTTTTGGACCTCTCTGCTTTCAAACTTTTCAAACTTTCTCATGCAGACATTCTTTTGTGTGCCATTCCTGTTGGCCCAGGTCAGATACAATGTTCAGCATGTCTAATCTCCTATCCATCATGTTTTTGTACAGCAAGCCAACAGAACAACCCCAGAAGCATGGTGTGAGAAAATGCACACTCTGTGAGTGCATGACAACCTGAAATGTCCAGCCTTGGATCAGTGTTACTGTTCTGAATATCAGTATTGATGTCAATGAGAGGAATATGCAATACTGAAATTCTCATTCAACATACAAAGCCACAGCACCTTCCTGTTTTATCTGTTTTTCTTCCTGTAGCTCTTTAATATCATTTGATTTTACTGCATTTATTCTCTGTTCTTCTTGCATGCAAGGTAAATTGCATGCCATGTAAAACTCATCCTCTTGTGAGCCAACCCAGTACAGGCCAAAGAATGTCCATAAAAGGCAGTACAGAAAAATGATCATGTCCTTTAGTTCCCAGCATCTGAAGCAGTGGACTTGTGTTAGCACGACACTTGGCCTATGCTTTGTTTTATTGACAAAGCATGAAATTATTCCCCCCAGGTTACTTCAGATTCTCATGTTTTTCTGTACTCCCTGACTTTCCAACCCTCAATTACTTAAATTCAATTTTATTAGGAAGGTAAAATTTTATGAAACCAGAACAGGCAACAGATAATAAACCACCCAAATCCATTAAACAAAAACGTAAGACTCACAAGTTGTCTTGGCAATAGCTTCAACCCCTGCCTCACAGCTGCATACAAAAAAGCAGATAACTAAGCAGTTCCCTCCTTCCCTTCCTTCACTGAACCTCAGCTATGGGCACGATCCTGTTTAGGCAGAGTTTGACACACCCTTCAGCATCCCACACACCTGGTACAGGATGCTGGTCAGAAACCATCACACAACACAATATTCTTAGTTTTTTTTCTCAAAGGTTCACAGTCCCCAGCTTGCCCAACCTACATGCTGTCAGACACATTTCTCTGCTAAAGTCGATGAGGCTCATCCAATTTTCACCAAAAAAGTTCTTAAACTGTATTTATTTGTTGTTCTGTTTATGAGCAGTTTGAATTTAAATATTTTGCAAGCTAGGCAGTAGATATAATATCTATTATTTTGAGCAACCTACAATTATAAAGACCTTATTTTAAACTTAGAATGATGGTAGTTGTGTAGAGAGGAGTAGATTATTAAATGAAGGCAATAACAAATCTGTCAGAGTAAACTGTAGAAACCATGGCCATAGGGTGGTTAAATGGTTGTGTACTGAGTGCTGTTTTACTATAATAGCTACCATTAAACTGAAGTTTTATCTCCACCATTATTGATTTATTTTGCTGAACTTCCTAAATACAGCCCAGTTAAAATTTCAGTTCTAGAAGTGTGGTGGTTTTTGCTCTTGCCAAAAGAAGAATAATAGAACTTTCCACTTAGATCAGAGGCAACCACACCAGACTGCAAAGAGACTACTAAAATAACGTTCAAGCTTTCAATTGCAGGTAAGGTACTGGGTGGGACTTAGCCCACATGCCCAAGTTGATACAGAAATTTGGAGGGGTTGGTTTGCAAAGGCAGCTTTGGAAGTAGTCACGGACAGGGCTGTGACTCTGAAGGAGCTCATTCAGCATTAATTGCCTGGCTGAGGAGCCAAGCCTGGCAATCTCCTAGCCAGGCTGATCAGAAACCTGAAAACACCACACAGGATGGCTGTCATGCAGGACACCTGGTAATGTCCAGAAGTTAACCCTGAGAAGGAGCCAGTAACTCTTCCAGCAAAGCCAGTACCATCTTCTAACAGACTCTACACCTTTGAGGAGGGGATCTTGGAGGTTCTTATAGATCTGGGGAGGGAGACCTTATAACAGCCTTCTAGTACTTAAAGAAAGCCTACAGGAAAGATAATGATAGGATGAGGTAATAGTTTTAAACTAAAAGAGAATAGATTTAGATTAGATAAAAGGAATTCTTTACTATGAGAGTGGTGAGGCACTGGAACGGGTTGCCCAGAGAAACTATGGATGCCCCATCCCTGGAGGTGTTCAAAGTCAAGATGGATGGTGCTTTAGCAATCTGCTCTGGTGAAAGGTGTCCCTGCCTGAGGCAGGGGTGTTTAAACTAGGTGATTTTCAAGGTTCCTTCCAAACCAAACCATTCTATGATTCTATTATATATTAGTTGGATTGGAAATGGATGTTGAGTTCCCAAGGTGAGCAGATGTTTAACTTCTACAGAAATTCAGAACCTCGTGAAAAAGATTAGTTTGGGCTCTGGATTCGTAAGGCCTATCATGCTTCAGCCCTGCACAGACACAGAGGAAGCAATTGTATGAAAGCAGGGAAAAGAGAAAATTTTCCAAATTTATCATAAGCCCTGTATTTATATAAATATTGGGGGGATAGAGAGAGCCCTGCACTGTTCACCCACAAGCATCTTATAAAAACTTGTCTCATTTAAACCATCTTAAATTTTCTGTTAATGGTGGCAAGGACAACAGTGTACCTACACAAACAGAAAAATTAATGAGGAAAAGGTCTAGCATCAGGGTCATCGGATGATAGATCTCCGCTACTGTTGTAAAAGCAAAAAAGGTAGCT